CATCATCATCATCATCATCATCATCATCATCATCCCCAGGCCTCGCACGCATAGCGGTAGTTCCCCACGCGTTTCGTTGGGTTATGTTTTTTCCCCACATGTTTCGTGGGGTTCTGGTTTTCTTCCCTGCCGCGCCGCACCCGCGACGCTCACACTCACACCTCACTCTTCCCCTCCTCCTCACAGCACTGCTCAGCACAGCTCAGCTCAGCTCAGCTCAGCACGGCACAGCTGAGCACAGCTCAGCTTAGCTCAGCTCAGCACAGCACAGCACAGCACAGCTCACCGCAGCACAGCACAGCATAGCACAGCTCACCGCACAGCAGCACAGCACAGCACAGCACAGCACAGCACGTCTATGCGGGCCATGGCGCAGGGCACGGCAGGCGTGGCAGTTTCTCAGCACCAGAAGGGGGTGCGCAGGGGGTGGTCCCTGAGCGCGGCGTTTATGCGGGCCATGGCGCAGGGCACGGCAGGCGTGCCACTTCCTCGACACCAGAGGGGGTGCGCAGGGGGTGGTCCCTGAGCGCGGCGTCTATGCGGGCCATGGCGCAGGGCACGGCAGGCGTGGCAGTTTCTCGACACCAGAGGGGGTGCGCAGGGGGTGGTCCCTGAGCGTGGTCTCTATGCGGGCCATTGCGCACGGCATGCTGAACGTGCCGAACCTTGGCGACACGGGGCACACGCACGGAGTTCTTCCCGCGCGCGTGGGCATGGAGGTGAGATTCACCGTCAAGGTGTCCAAGCGCATGAGCTTGATCCAGGAGCAGAAGGCCACCGTCGTGAGCTTCGTGTTCGAAAGCAGCGACCAGGACAGGTACGACGACTGCGCTCCGGGAGAGATCTTCCGCCCGCGCTGTCTGCCTGCGGGAATCTGGATGCAGGTGCACAACTTCGAGAAGCAGAGCCCGGACGTGGTGGAAGGCCTCGTCAACTCCTTCGGAATCCAGAAAGAGAAGGCGAACGGCCTGTTCTGCTTCCCGCTCATGGAGGCGCACTTCAAGTGGCAGAGCGCCAACATTGTGCACCGGGTCAAGAGGTTCGGGTACGCGCTCACGCACGGGCGCTTCCTGACGTCCACCGCGTCACAGGGCCAGACGATCCGCACCGGAGTGACCATCGACTGCGCGCAGGACAGGAGCATTGGCAGACCGGAGGGGAGAGCGGAGAATTGGTGGCTGCACTTGAACGTGATGCTCAGCGCAGCCATTTGCATGGACGATCTGCTCTTACTTCGGCCGCCGCCAAGGGAGGTCCTGCAGAAAGGCCCGCCTGCGTCCGTGCTCAAAGCCCTGCAGGAGTTCGATGAGCGCATGGCCACGGAGACGCGGGAGATCGAGGCCCTCGCCCTGGAACGCCAATGGATCTTGCCAGCGGCGTGAGACCGTCGGAGCGCACGGCCGCCAGAGTCTTTCCGACAAAGGCAGCGCCGTCCAGCCGCGTCGAAGTCGCGCGGCCCGTGCCGCTCCTGGACGATTTCGGAGCGTCCGCCCAGCTTTTGTTGTCGTGGCAACCGCAGCCCAGAGATTTTCCAACGAAGGGCATTCGTTTGCCGCACGCAGGCGGATCACGTTTACCATGCGAGACTCTCCGTCGAAGACACGCGGCGACAGACGTGTGGAAACTGCATGAGATGACAAAAATTAGACCGACCGAGGAAAGAAAGGGAGGCAGGGGTGCGGGATAACGCAGCGCGAGGCGAGGGGGTGTGATTTGCACCAACTTCCACAGTGTGCCCCCTGACTACTCGAGCTGTGGCAAATCGTTTTGCATCACCTCATTGGTTGTTGCGATTCCAAGAAACGGCCCTCGGTGACCACCTCGAGCTTTTTCCCGATGAAGGATAGAAAGCGGGGAAGAGAGAGGAGGTTCGCTCAGTAGTGGGTTGGATGACAAAACAAGGAAACATTCGCGACGAGGGTTTAGAACGCAGGACCGCGCATATATGATAATGAGCAGCGAACGCATAAGATTTTAATTGGGTATGAAGGGTTCCTCGGTAGCGTCATTTCTTTGCCGCGTCGCACCCGCGTCTCCCTCGCGCACCTCTCTCCCCGTCCCTCCTCGACGCACGCAACGCAAACATTGCGCGCACATTGGTGCACACGTCCACATACAGTCGCGCACGCATATACACATACACACGCTCACAAAGCGTGGCAGGGCACGGCAGGCGTGGCTCTTTCTCGACGCCAGAGAGGGTGCGCAGGGGGTGGTCCCTGAGCGCGTCTATGCGGGCCATTGCGCAGGGCACGGCACGCGTCGCACTTTCGCGACGCCGGAAGGGGGCGCGCAGGGGAGGGTCCCTGAGCGCGGCGTCTATGCGGGCCATGGCGCAGGGCACGGCAAGCGTGGCACTTTCCCGACACCAGAAGGGCCGCGCATGGGGTGGTCCCTGAGCGCGGCGTCTATGCGGGCCATGGCGCAGGGCACGGCGGGCGTGGCTTTTTCTCGACGCCAGAGAGTGTGCGCAGGGGGTGGTCCCTGAGCGCGTCTATGCGGGCCATTGCGCAGGGCACGGCACGCGTGCCACTTCCTCGACACCAGAGGGGGTGCGCAGGGGGTGGTCCCTGAGCGCGGCGTCTATGCGGGCCTGGGCGCAGGGCGCGGCAGGCGTGGCATTTCCTCGACAACGGTGGGGGTGCGCAGGGGGTGGTCCCTGAGCGCGGCGTCTATGCGGGCAATGGCGAATGGCACGGCGGGCGTGGCACTTTCTCGACACCACAGGGGGTGCGCAGGGGGTGGTCCCTGAGTGTGGCGTCTATGCGGGCCATGGCGCAGGGCACAGCAGGCATGGCCCCTTTTCGACGCCGAAGGGGGTGCCCAGAGGTTGATCCCTGAGCGCGACGTTTATGGGGGCTATGGCGCATTTGGCTGACGACAAAGAGGGGGCGCAGGGGGTGGTCCCTGAGCGCGGCGTCTATGCGGGCTATGGCGCAGGCGTCGCAGTTTCGCGACACGAGAAGGGGTGCGCAGGGGGTGGTCCCTGAGCGCGGCGTCTATGCGGGCCATGGCGCAGGGCATGCCAGGCGTCGTTCGCGACACCAGAAGGGGGTGCGCAGGGGGTGATCCCTGAGTGTGGCGTCTATGCGGGCCATGGCACAGGGCACGGTCGGGGGGATTCTTTCTCGGCCCCAGAGGGGGTGCGCAGGGGGTTGTCCCTAACCGCGTCGTCTATGCGGGCCATGGCGCAGGGCACGTCAGGCGTGGCACTACCGCGACGCCAACGGGGGTGCGCAAGGGGTGGTCCCTGACCGCGGCGTCTTTGTTCGAACACGGCGCAGGGCACGGCACGCGTGGCACTTCCCCGACACCAGAGGGGGGGGGCGCAGGAACCCACGGCGCAAATTGCAGCCAAGCGAGATGCGGATCCAGGTTGCCGGCCGTCGAGAACGGGCGACGACGCAGACCGGTTGAGCCCTCAAACGAGTATTCAACCAGTTATGTGTACTACAGAATGGGTGTACCTGCCCTTCGTCTGTTGGCTTTGCAGCCTGACGTGCTCGGAGGAGCTAGCGCCATGTTCTACGTGGAGCTGAGCGACGTCGCTGGGTGTCTCACCACCGGCGGTCTCGAAATTAGCAGTCAGTGATTTTGGCAATATGTATCATACACGAATACAGTATGTGGGATTCCTCGGTCGCGTTGTTTTGTTAGGTTGTTGTTGTTGTTGTTGTTGTTGTTGTTGTTGTTGTTGTTGTTGTTGTTTTTGTTGTTGTTGCTGTTATTGTTGTTGTGGTTGTTGTTGTTGTTGCTGTTGTTGTCGTTGCCGTTGTTGTTGTTGTTGCTGCTGCTGCTGCTGATGTTGTTGTTGTCGTCGTTGTTTGTATTGTTGTTATTGTTGTTGTTGTTGTAAGTGTTGATATTGTTCTTGTTGTTGGTGTTGTTGTCGTTGTCGTTGTCGTTGTCGTTGTCGTTGTTGTCGTTGTTGTTGTTTTTGTTGTTGTTGTTGTTGTTGTTGTTGTTGTTGTTGTTTGTGTTGTTGTTGTGTTTGTTGTTGTTGTTGTTGGTGTTGTTGTTGTTGTTGTTATTGTTGTTGTTTGTGTTGCTGTTGTAGTTGTTGTTGTTGTTGCTGTTGTTGTTGTTGTCGTTGTTGTTGTTGTTGTTGTTGTTGTTGTTGTTGTTGTTGTTGTTGTTGTTGTTTTTGTGGTTGTTGTTGTTGCTGTTGTTTGTTTCTTCGATGATCATGTTTCTCCCTCTGCTTCCTTCGCCTCGCCCCTTATCGTCGCTCTCCCGTGGTACTGGATTTGAAAGTGCGGCCGCTTGGGCCACAGGGGCTTCCATACAACGTCGAAGCCCACTCTCCCGGGACACCGCTGCTTCTGGCCACTGCGCCTCAGTATGTTTCGTCGAGTGTCGGCGATTCTCTCTCTCTCTCTCTCTCTAGACAGCTGCTGGTCGGGCGTTTGCGCTGGAAACGAATCTCGTCCTCCTCAGAAGCCCTCGCGTCGGGATTCAATGCTCGCAGGAGTCTTTTGCCAAATTTCGGCCTCCGGGGGCCGGCCCGGCCCTGGCCAGGCCCTGGGGTCGTAAGCAAAACGACGCAGGATGGAATGCCGATCCTGGGCAAGGGGTCGAGACCTCCAGGGATCCGCGTAAGCCATGACACACACAACGTCGGTGGTGTGGGTCCCCCCTCCACCTCCCCATCCCGTCCCCAGGGGCGTGGGCGAGCCCAGAGTGTGGGGCCCAGGCAGTGCGAGCGCGCAGCCACCGTCCTGCCCCTGAGAATCCTGACATGGTGATGCGGTGCGTGCGCGCACACATCGCAAACTCCCCCCCCGCCCCCTAGGTGGGGATAGGTTCCAGTCCTGATTCCAAGGTGTGCCGCTGTTGATTCTAATGTCATCATGGGAGGGGGGGTGGAATCGTGCGGGGCCCACTGGCGTGGTCGACCTGGCGAACCTGACACATCCCTTGATGCCCTCTGCCGTCGTCATTGTGGCTCAAGCCCCTCTCGGCTGTGCCCGATGGCGGCGCGCTCGCCGCAGGCCGCCCGCCGCAGCGCGGTGCCGCCCGCGCTGCTGGGCCTCCTTGCGCTCGGCCGAGCTGCCGGCGGCCCGGAGCCCGCGTGCGCCGCGGGAGCGGAGGGCCGCCACGGGCCCGGGCTGGCGCGCCCAGTGCTCGTCTCCAACGACCACGGGCAAGTGCTCGGCGAGTGGCTGAGCCTGGCGTCCGAGGCCTCGCTCCGGGGGCCGCTGGCCGTGCTGCACATCGACGCGCACGGGGACCTGAACATCCCCGAGGCGCCCGTGCCTGGGTGGGCCTGGCAGCTGAACGGCTCGCAGCGCCAGGAGCTGGCGGGGACGGCGGACCTGGCGAACTTCCAGCAGGTGGCGGCCTGGGCGGGCCTCGTGGGCCAAGTTGTGTGGATCAAGCAGGGCGGCGGCGTCGTCGAGCGCAGCTGCCTCGAGCTCCGCTTCGATCCCGGCTCTGGCCTCTTCGAGGAGGACGTGCTGGAGGAGGGGACGTGGCCAGAGCCTTGCTCGGGCGGCGGTGGCACTGGCGCCGACCGCTACACGAGGTACTCGAACACGAGCACTGCATAAATATGAGCTGTGGGGGCTCCGCGCGGATTCCTCTGATCGGCGCTGGGCCCCCTTGGCTGTGCCTCTGGCGGCGCCTCTGGCGCCGCCCCTGCTCCGCGCGCCTGGTAGGGGGGAACCAAGCGCCGACACAAGAAGTTCGCACAGAGCTCCAAAAGTGTATGTTTGTGCCGGTTGATGTTCCTCTAGGTACCTGAGCGTGCTGGAGGTGCCGGAACGCGCGCTGCTCCGCAGCGAGGTCGCGTGGGGCATTGTGGAGCAGCTGCGCGCCGTCGGGCCGTGGCTCCTGGACGTGGACCTCGACTTCTTCGTCTGGGGTGCCGCGGTGCCCGGGCGGCCGCCCTGGGCCGAAATCGGGCCGGACTGCCACGCCTGCCTGCGGTGGCCCGAGACTGACTGCGCCTTCTGGCGCCAGGCCAGCGGCCTCGAGGACGCGCGCGGCAGCGCGGCGCCGCCGGCGCCCGCGTCCGCGGAGGGCGGCGGCGAGAGCTGCGCCTGGCAGGCGGCCGCCGCGTGGCGGCAGCTGCCGCAGGCCTCCCGGGGCGCCCTGCACGGGCTCGGCTGGCCCGAGCGGCTGCTGGCGGCTGCGCAGACGCGGCGGGAGCGCGGTGCGGAGGTGCGCGTGGACGCCGCCGTGCTGGGGAAGCTCGAGAGGAGCAGAGAACGGCATGTGCATGATTCCTCGGAGCTCCGCGCGGACTTGTTGGATCGGCGCTGGGCCCCCCTGGCAGCGCCGTCGGCGCCGCCCCTGGCCCGTTCCGCGGATTTTTTGGATCGTCGCTGGCACCCCCCTCCCTGGCGCGCGGAGCGCGCCAGGGGCGGCGCCATGGGCGCCGCCAGGCGGATTCAGCGCCGATCTACGAAATCCGCGCGGAGCTCAGAGAAACTATGCTCATGCCGTTTTTCTGACCCTCTAGAAGCAGCTCCACCGGCTGCGGCGCGTGCTGGAGCCCCTGGCCGGCTCGCCGCCCGCTGTCGTCACCGTCGCCCGGTCGGTGGACTCCTTCGCGCGCATGGCGGACATCCCCCTGCTGGAGGCGGCCGCGCTGGAGGCGATCGGCCAGATCTGGGGCGCCGGGCCCGCGCCCAGCACTGCGTACGCCGAC